TCGACGACGCGGCGCCCGCGCCCGCGCCCGACGCCGCGGCGCCCGCGCCCGACGCTGCGGCGCCCGCGCCTGCGCCCGACGATTCCGCGTCCGACGATGCGGCGCCCGCGCCCGCGTCTTCCACCGCGAACACTTTGGAAGACGACGCGGCGAGAACGCTCTCTGTAGTCAACGCCGCCACCGCGGCCTCGCCGACGCGGCCGCCAACCACCGTGGACACGTTGGAAGAGGACGCGGCGAAAACGCTCTCTGTAGTCAACGGCGGCGCCGCCGACCGGCCACCGCTTGATTCCGATTCCGCCGCCGCGACAACGTTGGCGGATGCCGCGATGAGAGATCTCTCCGACGACTTCGTCTACGCCGCCGCCGCCGCCCCGACGACGCCGCCCGCCGGCCCGGCGTGGACGCCGTGCGCGAGCGAAGGCGAAGCGTGCGACTGCCACGGCGTCGTCCGCTACGGCCACCCGACCGTATCGACCGGCGGCAACGTCGGATGGCTGGTGAAACCCGGCTCGGCCGGGCCGACGACGTGCGCGGCGACCTCGTTCGGGGACGTCGCGTCGACCGTCCCTCCCGCCGGATCGACCGCGAGCGCCGCCGCCGCCGCGACGAACGTCTGCGAGTGTCTCGCATCGAACGCGACGCCGCGTCAGCTCGGCTTGGACGTCGTCGTCTTCGCCGACGAAACTAGCGGCGATTTCTCCGGGTTCGCGCGCCCTGAAGGACGCCACGGGTGGACGCGTTGCGCCGGGAACGGCGAGACGTGCGCCTGCCCCGCCGGCGGCGCCGTCCGAATCGGGAATCCGACGCCGCACGGCGAGCCTCAAGAGGTCGCGGACGAGTCGTGGAGGAGCGTGTTACAGGCGAAGCACGACGCGAGTCACACCGCGCGGTGGTGGGCGAAGCAGGCGGACGCGAGCGGCGAGACCGAATGCATCTCCGAGACGTTCGCGATGACGGACAAGACCGAGGACAACGCGAAGGACTCGTTTTTATCCCGCGACGGCGTGGAGTGTCAGTGCAACGCGCACTCGATGCTTCCGCCGAGGGACATCGTGGAGATGCTCGAGCTGCATCCGGACGCCGAGCTCGCCGCGAGCCTCGGGGCGCCCTCCCTCGCGGCGTCCTCATCGTCGTCGTCGTCGACGATCGCGGTCGCGGGCGCTTTCGGCGTCGTCGCCGTCGTCGCGGCGATCGCCGGCAAGAGAGTCGCGGCGAGGCGAACCGCGGTGGCGGCGGCGACGGAGACGTCGCCGCTGCTCCGCGCCAAGTGTAAGTAAGTTAACGTGCTGATGAAATTATTAAACGAAGTATACAACCAATCGGTGGTGGTTTTCGTTATCGCATCCCTAGTAGACTAATAATGGCGGGGGACCTCTCACCGATCGTCTTCCGCGCTGTCGCTCCGTTTATACGGGTTCTCGACGTTATCGTTTCGTCTGTACCGCACCGGCTGTTTCGCCGGCGACATGATTGACGCCTTCACCGCGTTGATGGTCTGAAACGGCGACCAGTTCGCCGGCTTCGGAGCTGGCTCCTCGTCGACGCTCGCGCGTCCGCTCCTCCGTCTCTCGGGGCTTTTGGCGTTCTCCACCGCGTCGTCGATGTACTCCGAATCCGCGTCCGCCGCGGAGTCCTCATCCAAACGACGTGCCACACCGGGCTTCCCGCCCATGACTACCCTGTTGAACTCCGCGTCGTCGTAGACGCCTCCGCCGATGAATCCTCTTCGTTTGAGCCAGTTCTTCATCCCCGCGTCTTTCGTCGGCGTCGCCCCCGCGCCGCCGCGCCCGAGCGGCGACGGCGCGAACTTCGGGAACATCACCCCCATCGCCTCGTCCGCGAGGAACGCCGGGTCTTTGTTCGGGCTCGACCGCATCCTCTCGACGAGCGCGTCGCGAAGCGCGCGCTTCCCCGCTTCGCTCAGCGGCGTCGCGCCCGTGGCGCTCCCCGCGCCGCCGAACGGCGATCCGGCGGGCGTTCCGGGCGACGCCGACGCCAGCGCCCCCTCGCCCTTCTCTTTCAGGATGATCGCCTCCGCTCGGCGCACTCTCATCCGGTTGCGGACTTTGTACGCGAACTGCCTCAAGATGTTCAGCCGCCGGAGCATGTCGAACGGGTTCCTGTCGTCGTACACGCCCTCCATCGTGGACGAGTAGTCGTACCGCTCCAACAAGATGGCGACGAAGAGGTTGCACAGGAGGCAGATGCCGAAGATGACGAAAGTGAAGAAGTACACCGGCGCGGTCTCGCGGTAACCGCACGTCTCGCCGTACGTCCCCAACGTCGGGTGCGTCGCTTTCGTCGCGCAGGTCCAGTACACGTCGTGGAAGGAGCCGGCCCAGTTGCCGGTGATGACGACGTACAGAAGCGCGATCGCGTTCGGCCAGTTCTGAAAGTTCGTGTACGGCGTCAAACCGAACGCGTTCGCGCCGTCGTAGTACTCCGGAATAGACGAGTACAGCGCGCAGCCTAAGCACGCGTAGATGTGCATGAGGAGGAGCATGAGAAAGAAGATGTTGGACATCCCCGGAATCGCGGAGAGAAACGTGTCCACGAGCGTCCGAAGCCCGGCGCTGGATTTGAGCACCTTGACGAGGCGGAAGAAACGCGCGGCGCTAAAAACGGTGACCATGTCGCCGTTCGCTTTCGAAGTCTCCGCGACGAGCTCCATGATCCCAAACACGGTCACGACGAAGTCAATCTTGTGCCACGTGGACTCCCAATACACCGCCCACGTCATCGCCGCGATATTCACGATGGTCTCGAGCACGTACAACACGGTGAAGCCGATCCTGAAGCCGTCCATGATCTCCTCCTCCGTCGCGCTCGGGTCGTCGCGCACGAAGCAGAGCTGCAACGCGTTTCCGAGGAGGACGACGACGACCATCCGCTCCCAGTGCTTCCACTTGCGCACGCGCAGGCAGAACCGACGGAAGTGATTGAGCGTCTTCGCGTTGACGTACCGCCACTCGTCGCTCGCGCGCTCGGTGGCGAGCTTCAACGCCTGGAACCACTTCCTCTGGGACTCGGAGTACGAGTACCCCATTCCGCCGCCGCCTTCTTCGCCCTTCAGCTTGCTCGCGACTTGCGAGAAGTTATCCACGAGCGACGACACGAATAAGTTGGCCCAGAAGAAAAACGCGATGAGGACGACGGCGACAAAGTAAAACGCGTTGTTCGGCTTGTTCTTGTACACCGGCTCGTTGAGCTCGCCGTTGACGTCCGTGCCGCTCCACATGATGTCCTGCCAGTTATCCCCGGTGGAAATTATGAATATCGCGACCGAGGCTTGACCGATGTTGTCGAAGTTGATCGCGGTGTTTAGCCACTCTCCGCCCGCGGCTTCGCACGTCGCCTTCGTCCCTCCGTCGTTTGTCTTCACCGTGCACGAGTAATACTGCCCTTTGAACAGCGTCATCCCGAGAACGCCCAAGATTATCATGATCACGACCCCCAACGCGCACACGGTCAAAATAGACGGCAACGAAACCAACGTCGCGTCGATGACGAGTTTCAGCGACGGGACGTTCTTGATGACTCGCAACGGACGCAGCACGCGCAACACGCGGAGCACGCGCAAGCTGTCGCCGCTCTCGGACCCCACGGACTCGAGCGATTTCGTCATGATCGTCGCGAAGACGATGAACATGTCGAGGTTGTTCCAGCCGTCTTTCGTGTACGCCTTGGGGCCGGACTTGAACGTGTACGCGATAATCTTCAGACACATCTCCAGCGCGAAGATGACGATGAAGAAAATATCCGCTAACTCGACGAACGTCGCCTCCGCGGTGTTCGCCTTGGGCCAGTCCGGGTCGCACTCGGGCGCGAGCAAACACGACGAAAAGATGACCAAAAACAGAATGAGCCGCTTGAACCACCGGTGCTCGACAATTTTCAGGCAGGCGAAGCGAACCTTGTCGTCGTCGCGGTCGATGCCGTAGCTCGAGACCCACTCGAGCTCGAGACGATCCGCGCGCTTCGCGGGTTCCTCAGCCGCCGCCTCCGCGGCTTCGATCTTCGCGCGCACTATTCTCTCCTTCTTCTTGATTAACATCTCCTCCACGGTCGTGTACTGGCTCATCGTCGTCCCGATGCTAAACTTGATCGCCTTGTCGACCGCGCATCCGAACTGTGATTTGCCTTTCGTCGCGCCAAAGTTCGTCGGCGGCATCACGAGACGGTCCCGCGCGGCGTCGAGGTCCGCGGAGGTGTATTCCTTCTTGAGTTCGTCAATCTGGTACCCGGCGGCGTTGTACTTCGCCTTCAGCGCTTTGCCTCGGTTCGTGCGGTGCTCGAACGAGGGGTGAATCAAAACGTTCATCTGGTCCAGCTCGAGGAGCCATATCCTGACCGCCGCGGTCTCCGCGACGAACTGTCGTTGGTGGAGGTCTATGCGCTTCTGTGCTTCTACGATTCTGTCTTTCCCCGTCAGATCTTTCATCGACTGGTGAAGCAAGGTGGTCTTCTCGGACATGAACAGCCCGACGTCTCGGTTCGTCTCGCGCCTCTGCATCTCCAATTCCGAGTCCGTCACGCTGGACTGGCGACGGTGTCGACCGCCGGTGCCGCTGCCGTCGTCGTCGTGGTCGTGGTCGTGACCGTTCACCTCGCCGCCGCGAAGCGCCTTCCGCTTCGCCGACTCCCAATTCGCCGTCGCCGGCGACCCCTCCTTCCCCGCCGGCGACCCCTCCTTCTTCGCCGGCAACCCCTCCTTCCCCGCCGGCGACCCGTCCTCGGGGGTGTGCTCCACCGTGTACTCCACGTCCGGCTTCTCTTCCTCGTCATCGTCCAGCATCGCGAGCGGGCGCGCCGCGGCTTCGATCAACACCCCGAGCACGAGCGCGAGCAGCGACGTCGAGAGCAACGACCAGACGACGATGTAAAACAACGAGCTGTACGTCCCGGATTCCCTCATCATCAAGTACGCCACCTCGAAGGTGTTCTCGCCCGTGCAGATGACGAACAACGTCAGCAACGCCGCGCCAAAGGTGTCGAAGTGATACCGCGACTCCCCGAGCTCGCCGACGCCGCCGAAGAGCTGCATCCCGAGGATGGCGAAGACGGCGATGAACATGACGAAGATGATGCCGAAGGATGCCATGCGCACGACGCCGTTGCCGATGGCGGCGAAGACTTGCTGAAACGCGCGCGCTCTCCGCAGGGACTTCAGACCGGCGACGATCCGCAGGACGCGGAGCATTCTGAGCAACGCCATGGCGCCGGACTCGCCCCCCATCGCGAGCTCGACGATGCCGGCGACGACGACGACGCCGTCGATGACGTTCCATCGGTTCAGCCAGTAATGCACCGGCCCGTACGCGAGGTGTTTCAGGAGGAATTCCAAGATAAAGATCCCGGTGAACGTCGTCTCGCACGCGTACAGAAAGAACGCCCACCAGCGGGATATCCCGTACGCGTTGCTCGCCATCGTGATCGTGTTCAAGATGATGATCGTGAAGATGAACCGCTGGAAATACCGGTGCGAGACGAACCGCTGCAGCCTGCGGCACTGCAGTAAGATCGCGGGGGGCAAGACGCTCTTCTTCACCCTTCGCGTCTTCCCGTCGTCCCCGACGCGTTCCTCCACGCGCATGCCCTCCATGTTCTCGTGCGACCACTCCACGAACTTTTCCCACTTGTCGTTGACCCACAGAGCAATCTTACGAAGCTTGTCCTCCTGCGGGGAAAACTTGACGTTCTCCGACGGCGGCAACCCGAGCGCTTCCCTCCGAGCGTTCTCCTCGTCCTCCTCGACCATCTGGTCCGTGCAGTGCGACAGCGTGATGATCATCACGGACGCGAAGAGCTGCAGGACGTAGAACCCGCCGAAGAAGACGATGAGCGCGAAAAACGGCGCCGAGCGCGCCAGCCCGGCGCCGTCCGCGGCTTGCCTCGCCACCTCGTTCCACCCGTCGATCGTGATCGCCTGGAGCACGAGAATCACGCTCTCGCTGAAGTCGTCGAACGAGACGTAGTCCTCCAGCGGTCGATGCTCGCTCGCGCAGCACAGTTTCCCGTCGTCGCACCCCGCGCCGCGCCCGCGCGGGTCGCACACGTCGCCGGATTCCGCCACGGCGCTCTCCGCGGGGCACGCGCCGCCGCCATCCGTCGCGGAGCAGCGCCCGTTCAACCGTCCCCCGAAGACCATCACGCCGACGCACGTCGCGACGACGACGAACCACAAGAGGAAGATGATCGCGTCGCGCAGCAGCGGAATCGCCGTGTACGACGTTCGCATCAGGAGCTGCCCGTCCCTGAACGACTTCATCGCGCGCAGCGGTCGGAAGCATCGAAACGCGCGCAGCGCGAGAAACTGCGACCCGACCGATTCCCACACGAGCGCGGCGAGCGCGCCGACGACGAGCGCCAAGTCGAACTTGTTCCACCCGCTTCGCATGTACGTCCTGCTCGCGAACCAGAACCCCTGGTCGATAATCTTGATCGCCGCCTCCGCGGCGAAGAGCGCGGTGCACGCCACCTCGAACGCGGCGATCCCGGCGTCCTTTGATCCGCGGTCGCTCATGTCCTGCGACGCCATCACGATCGTGCTCGCGAGGATCACGAGGAAGATGAACGTCTCGAACCACGCTGCGGGGGGGGGGAGATCGCGTTCGCGTCGCGGTGTGGGGGGAGGGGGAAGGAGCGTCGGCGTCGCGGTCCACGCGCGGAAGGGCGAGGGAGGGAGGGCGAGGACAAAAAAATCGAGGCGGGCGGCGTCGCGTCGTTTTTTCGGTCGCATCGCATCGTCGGGTCGGCGCGCGCGGGGACGCACGACTGTTGTGGATCGAGTGGCACAGCTTCCGGACCGCGTCGTCCTCGCCGAAGATCAGCAGCGACTTCGGATGGTTCGAGATGTACCTGATCGCGCGAGAGGGGGAAGGAGCGAGGACGTCAGCGACGGAGACGTGGGGGGACCGAATGTTCCCGGTCGTCGCGCCGTCGGTCGCGATCGCGCGCGCGACGCACCTCGAGAACCGCGTCCACGTCGTCATCTCCGCCTTCTGCGCCCTGGCGTACACCGCCTTCGCGTGCGCGTCCGCGCCGCCGGACGCCATGACTAACGACGGCGCCGCGAGCTAGCCTCGCGCCGCGCTCACTGAGGGTTTTGTCCGACCACCCGCTCGATCGCTCGGCCGTGTTCGACTGGCGCTGGCGTTCGAGAGCGGCCGCACTTTTGTATCCGGAGTTTCGATCAGCGCCCCGGTCAGTTAGGAGAAGTTCGGGTCGGTTTGACCGGCTGGCTCGATCGGGGAGTGGTTTGAAACGCATCCGGAGGTTCGACAGGACAACTTCTGAATGGTTTCCATACGGGCCCATTTTCTTAACTTTTTCGCGGAAGGAAAATCTGATCTCTCCTCCTGTCTGCTCTCGTCCGCGAAATCACGAGTGCGAGTTCGCGGCTAAGCGCCTTTGGGACTCGGACGAGAATAATGACAGACGCACTCTCCCCGGCGCGCGAACGTCCCCGACGCGCGCGCGATGTGCCGGTGGATCTTCTACTACGGCGAGGAGGTGTGCATCGCGAAGCTCATCTTCGGATGCACGCATGGGTTGGCGACGATGTCGCACGTGCGCGCGCGCCCGCCCTCCTCTCGCGCGTCGAGTTCCCGCCGCGTGCCGTGCCCTTTTCGACGACCGGAAAAGAATGCGCTGGAGACGCGCGCTCCCTAACGCGTCCCCGCCCTCCCTCCCGTCCCTCCTCCCTCCCCCCTCTCTCCGTCTCCAGGGCGCGGGCTACACCCCCGGGTGCGAGCTCAACCACAACCGGAACCACCCGGTGAACGTCCACGGCTGCGGCATCGGGTGGTACGCGTGTGAGAAGTGCGGGCTCGTGGATAAACACGGCCTCAGCGCGTATGATCGACCGACGGTGTACACGACCGTCGCGGCGCCGTCGCACGACCGAAACCTGCGGTCGCTCTCCAAGACGATAAGCACGTCGCTGCTGTTCGGTCACGTGCGAGCCGCGGGCCCGGGCGCGAGCGTGCACCAGTACAACTGCCATCCGTTCAGGAAGGGACGCTACATGTTCATGCACAACGGCGAGGTCGTCGGGTTTAAGTCCATCCGCCGCGGGCTCCTGAACAAGCTGAGGGACGAGCTGTTCGAGGACATCAGCGGCACGACGGACTCGGAGCTCTTGTTTAACTTGATCTTGAACGAGCTCCCGGACGTGCAAACGCGGCAGGACACGGTGACGCTGCAGCGCGCGGTGTTGAAGGGCATCTGCGCCATCATCTCAGCGTGCAAAGGGAAGCCGAGGTGCGTTCTCCTTACACTGGTTCCCATACGACCGCGTTCGCGTTGTGAACTTCATTCCTTGAGGACTTTTCCTAAACCCTAAACCCCAACACTAATCCAATACCACCACCCTACCCCCACCCCCGCGCGCCTCCTCGCAGCTCGTTGAACGTCGCGCTGACGGACGGGGAGACGGTGATCGCGACGCGGTACCGCAACAGCGAAGACGAGGAGCCGCCGTCGCTGTATTTCCATCTCGGTCCGATGCCGGGCGAGCGCGCGTGGGATCTGAACTCCCTCGGCGGCTTCGACGCGATGGAGTCGAACGCGAAGGACACGGACATATACGGCGTGAGGAAGAGCGCGTCGCAAAAGAGCGGGTTTAAGAAGACCGGGGCGTCGTCGGCGGGCGCGGAGCGATTGATGCGAAATAAATTCGTCGCCACGCAGGCGCTGTTGGTGTCGTCTGAGCCGCTGTCCGGGGACCACGGCCTCGATCGGTGGCAGCTTCTCCCGCCGAACTCGATGATCGTCGCCGCGCCGACGCGGCCGATGGCGGGGCGATGCACGAGATCCGCGCTCGTCGCGAAGCTAAAGGAGGAGGCGATGGGAGGAGGGAAGCGGCATAATCTCACGCCGTCCTCCGCGCCCGTGTTGGAGATCGAGATTAAGGTGCGTTCTATACACTGGTCCCCATACGACCCCGTTCGCGTGGTGAACGCCGATCCTTAAGGAATTTTGCCGGCGTCTCTCTCCGCCCACCCCTCGCTTTCAATCCCCGCCCTCGCCGCCTTTCAACTCCAACTGACGCCTTTCAACTCCACCCCGCCATCGCTTTGTATGGAACGACCCTAAGTCTCTGAAGGACGTGTGCAAGAACGTGTTGGGCGGGTGTCCGGAAGCCGCCGCGGCCGGGGAGGTGCCGTCCGCGGTCGCCGCGATCTGGGAGGGCGGGAGCGACCGGGAGTTCCGGATTCGAAGGGCGGACTCGCCGACGCAGACGACGCACGGCGGCGGCGGCGGCGGCGGCGAATCGTCGCTCAGGTGCGTTCTATGAGGTTACACTGGTCCCCATACGACCCCGTCGGCGTGGTGAACGCCGTTCCTTAAGGACTTTGCCCGGCGGTTTTATCCGCCCAGGGTCCCTCGCTTTCAATCCCCGCCCGCGATGACTTTCAACTCCAACTGACGCCTTTCAACTCCACCCCGACGTCGCTTTGTATGGAATGACCCTCAGCTCGGAGCTGGCGCCGCTGAAGGAGGAGGCGAGCGGCGGCGGCGGCGGCGGCGACGACGCGGCGGGCTCGGACGATGCCCTCGACGGCGGCGGCGACCGCGTGGGCGCGTTAGGTCGGCCGCCGCGGCCGCTCGATCACGCGATGACCGTGGACAGCATGGGGTTGAGCGCGATGGCGGCGTCGCTGCCGAACGGGAACGGACTCGTCGGGTCTTGGGGGAGGGAGAGAGGGAAGTCGCCGCTCGGGGACGACGGCGGCGGCGGCGGCGGCGGCGGCGGCGGAGGCGTCGTCGCGCGCGTGTCGCGCGACGCGAAGACGTTGAGCGGGAACCCGATCATGGGGTTCAACATCGATCCGAACGCGCGAGACCTGATGAAGAAGAAGGTTGACTACTCGCGCAGGGCGTCGATAGACGTCCACCCGGGGAGCGGGGCGTGACTCGTCTGATGACTGTAAAACAAAACACAACAGTCTCCAGTCGTCAATAATAAACATCTGCTTCTCTCCCGACGCCGACCCATCGTCCGTCGCGCGCGGCCGGACCGTCGCGGGGTGACGCGCTCCGTCGCGCGCGCGATGGCGTCCGCGGAAGACCTCCTCGCGCCGCCTCGCGCGTCGGTCGCGCTGTTGGGGTTCCCGGACCTGCACCCCGCGGTCGGCGAGTGTCTTCGCGCGCGCGCGAACCTGGAGCCGAAGAGCTTCGTCGGGGCAGATCTCGCGGCGGAGGCGACGCGCGCGCTGCCGCCGGCGCCACCCGCGCCCGCGCCCGCGGCGCCGCCCGCGCCCGCGCCCGCCGCGGACCCGCTCGGCGCGGTCGCCGCCGCGGTCGTCCCAGCGGCGACTGCGGCGGCGGCAGACGGCGCGGGCGGCGAGAGCGACCGACGCGATCCTCCGCCTCCGCCTCCTCTCGATGAGATCCTCCCCGCGGTCTGGCTCGGCGACGTCCTCGCGCGCCCGTCCGTCGCGTGCGCGCTCGTCCCTCACGAGTCCGCGGAGGGCGACCCGTCGTCCTGGGCGGCGCTGTCGTCGACGCTCGACGCGCTCCGCGCCGCGGCGAGCGGCGCGAACGCGCGACTCGTCGTCGTCGTCGCGGGCGAGCACGCCCCGGAGACGCTCTCCGAAGATCGCGCGTCCGCCGCGCGTCGACGCGCCGGGATCGACGCGCCGTTCCTCGTCACGCTGCCGCTGCCGCCGACGCCGGACGCGCTGGCGAGGCTCGCGGCGGCGTGCGCGCGCGCGAACGAGGAGAGATGCGCGGCGGAGGAGCGCTCGGCGGTTACCGAGGCCGCGGCGGCGGGAGCTTCGACGTCGACGTCGGACGACGCGTCGCGCACAGCTGTGTTCGCGCGGTACCGAGCCGCGACGTTCGCGGAGCTCCGAGGCGACGTCCCCGGCGCGCTGGCGCACTACGCGAGCGCGCACGACGCGCTCCTGGTGTCGCACGTCGCCGCGGAGAAGAGCGGAGAAGAGCACGAGCGTTCGAGCGCGGCGCCGGCGCGGGACCGAGCGCGACGCGCCGCCGTCGCGGAGCTCCTCTCGAGGAAGGCGACGTCGCTGGCGCTGCGCCAACCGACCGGGGGGTCCGCGCGCGACGGCGACGCCAACGCGCGCGGCGCGGATATGATGTGCGACGACCCTCACGCCGCGATCGCGCGCTTCACGCGGCACGTCCGCGCGTTCGAGCGCGCGCCGGCGTGGCGGGACCCGTCGAGCGTGAGCGCGAATAACGTCGCGAATAACGCGTACGTCGCCGCGCAGTTTGAAACGTTCGCGGACGCGCTCGCGTCGAGGGTGCCGTGGGGGCTCGCCGGCGGGGAGCCGCCGCGAGGCGCGCCGAGGGAGTGGTGCCCGGGGTTTTATTACCACGCCGCCGCGCGCGCGGCGGAGCGCGCGCGCGAGGCGGCGATTGAGGGCGGGAGGGGCGGGTCGAACGGCGGCGGCGGCGGCGGCGGCGGCTCGACGGCGGCGGCGCATCTGGGCGCGTTCGTGGACGCGGCGACGGGCGCGCGTCTCGGCGACGAGGCGTACCTCTCGCGTCTCGACGCGGCCGCCGCGGCGCGAGAACATGAAACGTCGCTCGGCTCCGCCGCGAAGATCGTCGACCTTCTGGGGAAGGCGAAGCGTCACTACGCGACGTTTTACCTCGACCAAAAGCGCGAGAGGTTCTTCGCGGGCCTCGCGTCGCAGCTCGCGCGCGCGCACTTTCAAAACGGCGACGTCGCGGCCGCGAAGACGGAGCTCGAAGCGTGCGTTTCCTCGTTTCGAAGAGAACGTTGGGACGATCTCCTCGCGCCGTGTTTGACGCTGTCGAAAGACATCGCGCGCGGCGCCGGCGCCGCCGCGGGCGCGGACGCCGAACTCGCGGCGATTTGTTTAGAGCTCGCCGCGTTGGACGAAGACGCGGGACCGCGCGGCGTCGTCGACGGCGACGCCGCGATGGCGGCCGCGTCCGCGGCGATGGCGTCCCTGGACGCGAGCGCGAGGACGCTGGAGATCGCGCCCGGGTCCGGGTTAGAGAGAGCGTTTCGAGTCGTCGCCGGGTTCAGGTTCCCCGCGTCCGCCGCCGCCGAGAACGCCGCCGCGACGAGCGGGGAGGCGGTTGAGTTCGCCGTCGCGCTGCGGTCGTCGCTGCCGTCGCCGCTCGCGATCGACCGCGTCGATATCGAGTGCGTCGACCCGACGTACGGCTCGATCGCGTCGGTCGACGCGATCGACGCGCTGCCGTCGCGCGCGTGGCGCGTCGCGAGCTTCCGCGTCGTCCCCACGCGGGGGAAACCGGTGGCGGTGGCGGCGGTGTCGGCGACGTTGAAAAACGGCGTCGTCCTCCGCCGCGCGCTGGGGCTGGGTCGCGAGGGCGCGAATCGCGCGGAAGCCACCGAACGGCTCCCGAGCGCGATGTCGTCGGTGTCCACGCGCGTCGGCGTCTACGCGCTCGACGTGAGAGACGCGCCCGCGAAGGTGCGCTTCGCGAACGACGATGACGAACGCGCGGAGGGCGACGAGAGAGAGAAAAAGATAAAGAAAAAGCCGCCGACGAAGGCGCTGCTCGGAGAGACCACGCGAACGCCGCTGACGATCGCGTCCGACGGCGACGCCCTGCGCGACTGCACGCTGAGCGTCGCTATCGTCGCATCGTCGGGGTTGGGGTCGGGAGACGGCGACGTGACGATCGACGACGACGATGGCGTCGTGGAGATGACCGTCGACGGCGTCGCGTTGAAACCCGGAGCCATCGCCTCCGTCGGCGACGTCGACGCGAACGCCACGCGCGCGATGACGCTCGCGACGCGGTGGCGCCGCGTGCTGCCGACGACGCCGTTCATCACCGCGCGCGTGACGCTGAGAGGGAAGCGATGCGGGGAGTACGACGGCGCGGACGCGGTGATTCGCGCGTCGGCGACGTTCGAGCTCGCGTCGGCGTTGTCGACGACGGCGGCGACGACGGGGGGGTACCGAAGACACGCGTTGCGGCCCGCGAGCGGCAGCGCGGGCGCGGGGGACGACGTCGAGGTCGAGGGGTCGCGAACCGTCGTGACGGTTCGCGTCGCGGACGCGGACGGGGCGGCGATCGCGATCGCGGCCGCGGACGGCGCCGCGCCCGGCGAAGGCGACGCGTTGCGCCGAGGCGACGCGTACGCGTTGGCGACGTCGAGCGACGCGGACGTCGTCGACGTGAAGTGGCGACGCTTCGGATTCGGCGGGCGCGACGCTTCGGATTCTCCTCATATTTCCGAGGAGATCTCGTCCCGCCTCGCGCTCCCTCCGCGGAATACGCAACGTCGACCGTCGCGCGCCCCGCCGCCGCTCACGGTGGAGCTCCGCGCGCCGCCGCGCGTCGCCGTCGGCGAGCCGTTCGACTGGCGCCTGCGCTGCGACGTCGCGTCCGACATTCCGCAAGCGCTCTGCGTCGAGATCGTCGACGCGAGCGGGTTCGTGTTCGCCGGCGCGCGGCGCGCGACGTACGTCGTCCCCCCGGGCGCGTCGCTGGACGTGTCGCACGCGCTCGTCGCGGTGACGAGCGGGGAGGCGCTCCTGCCGGAGGTGACGGTGACGGCGCCGAGGTTGGGCGCGAAGTGCGCGCCGCCGAGGGAGAGCCGCGCGGTGTACGTCCTGCCTCACGCGCGAGAGGTGGGGGGTGGCGTCTAGGGTTCGTGGGGGTTTAGGTCTAGGGTACCGTACCGTCTAACACGAAATCGCGCAATAATAGCCCTATGATACACCGCCTCTCTCTCTCCGCCCGCCGCGTCGTCGATCTCAGTCCGAGTCGCTCGCCTCGTCCTCGCTCTCGTGGAAGATAGGCTCCGGCTGAGTCTCCGCGTAGGCGTTTCGCGTCCGCCACGGGTTCTCCTCCGCGTCCTTCGCGTGCCTCAAGATGGCCTCGCGCGGGTCCTGCAGCCTCCAGTTCTTGTCCCCGATCATCCCGCTCTCCTTCATGATGCTCTGCGTCAGTAGCGTCCCCGCGGCTTTCCTCGACTGCACCTGCAGCGGCTTCTTCGACTTTTCCTTCGACTTTCGCGTCCCGATGTAGCCCTCGCCCTCGGCTTTTTTTCCCGGCATCGGCTCTTTAAACATCGGCAACGCGTGCGGCGTGTACGCGATGTTCTGCAGCGATATGTTGACAAAGTCCGCGTTAGACTTCGACCGCGCTTTCCGTCCCACGCACACGAGCATCCCGCGCTCCGAGCGTCGGTCGTCGTACAGCGCGCTGGCGTGCCCGCCCTTGTGGTCGCCGCAGCCCAAGAAGAGTTGGTTGAGGCGCGCGTGCCACGCCGCGGCGACGCAGTTGCCTTTCGTGCCAATCTTCCGCACCATCTCGAGTTTGTCTTTGCTGAAGACGCACAGCGCGCCGTCGCCCTCGCTCGCGCGGCTCATCGGCGCGTCGACGCCGGTGTAGAAGAACGCGTCGTTCGGGGAGAACCCGACTTGGGTCTCCTCGTGCGTCGTCTCCAAACCGTGGAAAACCTTGACGACTTTGGACGCGTTCCGCGCGTCCCACACCTTCAACGTGCCGTCCGCGCACCGCGAGAGTACCATGTTCCCGTCGCGCGCGAACGCGACGGACGTGATGCTCTCCCCCGGCGCGTGCGCGCTCTTGAACGTGGTCTTCGGTCGCGACGCGAACGACCAGTGGTTGTCTAGGTGGCACTGCGCGCTCGGGGGGAGCACCAACCCGACTCGCGCGTTTCGATAGCTGCTCCCTCCGGAGGACGGAAACAGCTGCACGGTCCCGTCCGTGACCCCTCCCGCGATCATGCTCCCGTCGTGGTTGTACGCGCACGACGTCACCTGCACGCGTCCGGGGCGCGCGAGCTGCGGTTTGACGACGGACTTTTGCGCGCCTCGCGGGTCGCCGCACATCGAGACGTTCCAGATCCGCAGAGAGCCGTCCGCGGACGCGGTCAACGCTTGGTCTCGGTCCGTCGGATGCCACGCCCCGGACGTGCACGGCGAGCAGTGGCCTTTCGTGTTCTTTAAGTCTCTGATGTACATGTCGCCCTTGTCAAACTCGCCGAGCTCGCGGCCGTCGCGGTCGTAAATCTTTGGCTGCGGGCCTCCGGTGACGACGAGGAACTGAGGGTCGAGGGTCCACGCGAGCGAACGTCGGGGTGGAGTTCACGGGCGTCAGTTGAAGTTGAAAGGCGTCGACGGCGGGGATTGAAACCGAGGTGTGGGCGGAGAGGAACGCCGGCAAACGTCCTTAAGAAACGGCGTTCACCACGCCAGTGTCGGGATTGAAAGCGAGGGACCCTGGGCGGAGAGAGACGCCGGCAAAACTCCTTAAGGATCGGCGTGCACCACGCCGACGCGGTCGTATGGGGACCAGTGTGAGACGGGACGCGCCTGATCGCCGCTCGGCGACCACGAGAGCGCGTGGATCGGGTATCCGTCGTCCGGCGTTATCTCCCGGAACGGCCTCAGGTCTCTACGCATGCCGTTGAAGTCGTACATCTTCACGGTGTAGTCGTGCGACCCGGTGAGGAGCCGCGACCCGGTGTGTTCGAGCGCGAGCGCGGAGACGACCTTCCGGTGGCCGTCCATCACGGCTTCGTTTTTGAGCGGAAGGAAATCGTCGTACTCCTCCTCCGCGGCGGCGCCCACGCGCGCGTCGTCGTCGTCGTCGTCCTCCTCCTCCTCCACCTCCACCTCCTCCTCCTCCGCGCGCTCCGTCGTCCTCGCGGGCGGCGGACGCATCGTCACCGGCGCGTCGCGGTCGAGCGGCGGCGGCCGCCACCCCGGCGGCGGCCGAGACGACGGCCCCTCGGACGGTCTGCCGTCGACGCGCCGCTGCGTCGCGAGCACGCGCTCGCGCTCGATCGCGGCGCGCTTCGCCCCGGGGGTCGCGCTTCCGAACCCGCCCGGGAGCATCGCGCGCAGGGCGGCGTCCTCGTCGTCCTCCGCGGCGGCGCGCGGCTTCTTCGCGGAAGGTCCGTCGTCGTCGTCGTAGAAGGCGGAGCTTCGCGCGATGGCGATCGCCTGCGCGCGCTTTTGCCGTTCGACGAGCTCCTGAAGGCCGCCGCCTCCCGCGCTCGGGCCGGACGCGTCGCGGCGCGCGGCGACCGCGCGCATCCGCCGCAGCTCCGCGATCTCTTCGTCGTCGTCGTCCATGACGCGCGACGTCGCGGCGTGGGGGGCGGGGGGGGGGCGCTTCGCGAGTGACGCGAGCGACGACGACGCGCCGGCAATCTTAAGATCTCGTTCGTGCGGGACGACGCGACTGGACGAGCAAACTAAGCATCATCATTGCATTCGCGTCGTCGTTATCCCGTCCACTGTCCTCCGCGCGGGGTCGCGATGGCGAGCCTGGCGCGGATGGCGTGCTCGCTCGCGGCGCCGACGCTCGCGCGACGCGCGCGTCCGGCCGCGCGCGCGGCGTCGCTCGCGGTCTCGACGCGTCGCGTCGCCGGCGGACGCCGCGCGGACGACGCCGTCGCCGTCTTCGCCGTCGCCGCCGCGCGACCGCGACCGCGACCGCGACCGCGGCGGGCGACGACCGCGGCGGGCGCGGCGAAGACCGCGGCGCCGATCGAGACGATCGAGGCCCCGCCCGGGGGGGTCTGGTCCGGGCTCGACGCCTGGCGCGCGTCGCCGATCGACCGGCGATACGTGTGGGGCGAGCGCACCGCGGTAGATCTCGGCGTCGTCGTCCCGCCCGGTCCCTGGGCGGACCCGACGCGCGCCACGGCGTCGACGATCCCGACGCTCCCGAGCACGCTCGCGGAATGCGCGGACCTCATCCTGCGGACCGCGGACCCGGCGATAAAGGCGGCGCTGTCGCACCGCGCGTACGCCGCGTTCGTCGCCGCCGAGGACGAGGACGAGGACGAGGACGGCGGCGCCGCGCGGCGGCGACGCATGAAGATCGGACGCGCGTCGCCGCCGGACGCGCCGGCGCGTCCGACGCGACCGACGCTCGTGCACCCGAAAGACGTTCCGAGCCCGAAGACGTGCGAGCTCGGGATGAGCGCGGCGATGATGCACAACATCGCGCACATCGAGCTGAACGCGATCGATCTCGCGTGGGACACCGTCGCGCGGTTCTCGGCTCTCGCCGCCGCCGACGACGACGACGCCGACGAAGACGACGCGTCCACGTCGTCGCCCCGCCGCTTCGTCGTCCCGATGGACTTCTTCCGCGACTTCGCGCGCGTCGCGGACGACGAATCTCGACACCTCGGCTGGTGCCTCCAGCGCCTGAGCGAGCTCGGCGTGGCGTACGGCGACATCCCCGCGCACAACGTCCTGTGGGAGGGCGCGGAGAGCACCGCGGCGCGTTCTTCACCCTAACGCTCGGTTTCAACGTTTGATCGCTCCCCCTTTCGAGTTTCTTTCGACTGACCGATGAACGAACGACCACGACCCTCAGGGATCACTCGCCGGGAGGCTCGCGGTGGTGCCGTGCATGCAAGAAGCGCGCGGGCTCGACGCGGGCCCGCGGCTCGCGTCGAAGCTTCAGGGCCGCGGCGATAACCGAAGCGCCGCGATGATCGCGAGGATAAGCGACGAGGAGCTCGCGCACGTCGCCGTCGGCGTCGCGTGGTTCCGCGAGCTGTGCGGCGCGTTGCGCGTCGACCCGGGCGACGCGTTTCGCGCGCACGTCGGCGAACACGCGCCGGAGTCGCTGCGCGGACCGTTCAACCACTCGGCGCGAATCGCAGCGGGGTTGGAACCGAATTGGTACAGCGTCGGCCCGGAGCACAGGATGGGAATCGAGTTCGGGACCGGGACCGGGACCGGGACCGGGACCGGGTTTGGGGACGACGCGGAGGGGGAGGGGGAGGAGGACGGCGAGCGCGAGCTGAAGAAGAGCGCGGCGGCGTTGGTGGCACGACTGAAGAGGATGCTCGAGCTCGAGGGCGTCGCGGTCGCGGCGGGGGAGGCGACGCCCCCGACGGCGGCGGAGGAGGAGGCGCGGGGCGACGACGATAGATCTAGTTAGACGACGTAGTGATTGACGCTTTGTAGTGCTGCGCGCGAGGGTATGATACAGTGCGCGCGTTGTGATTGATTGTGTGTTGGATAAAGAATGGTGTTTTGTCTATTGATAAGGCAAGGCGGGCGTTTTTTTGTTTTTCCTCCCGGACCCAGGCGGGCGAGCGAATCGATCGATCGGTCGACGGCGTCGAATCGAATCGTCACGCGACCTCGACGTTGACCTCCTCCGCCGCCTCGACGGCTTCCTCGAACGCGCCGCTCTCGTCGCCGAACATGTGCCCCATCTTCGCTCGTTTCGTCTCGATGTAGCGCTTGTTCTCCAGCGTGATCGGCGCGAACAGCGGCGACCGTCCGACGATCGTCAGTCCGAACCCTTTCAACCCGTGGTACTTGGCCGGATTATTCGTCATGAGACGAATCGTCTTCACCCCCAAGTCGCGCAAGATGGCCGCGCCGACGCCGTACTCGCGCGAGTCCACGGGCAACCCCAAGTCCTCGTTCGCCTGCACCGTGTCCCTCCCTTCGTCCTGCAAGTTATACGCGCGAAGCTTGTGCCCCAAGCCGATCCCGCGGCCTTCCTGCCCGCGGAGGTACACGATCACCCCTTTCCCCTCGCTCGCGACGCGTTGCATCGCCATGTCCAACTGGTTCCCGCAGTCGCACCGCGAACTCCCGAAGATATCCCCGGTGAGGCACTCGCTGTGCACGCGCACGAGGACGTTGTCCCCGTCCGCGAGCGACCCTCCGTTCTCCTTCCCCTCGTCGTCCAGGTTGCCGTACACGAACGCGACGTGCTCGATGCCGTCCGTCTCGCTCTTGTACGAAACCGCGGTGAACGCGCCGTGCTCCGTGGGCACGCGCGCGCTCGCGGTTCGCCGCACCAAAACCTCGCGCTTGCGTCGGTACCTCACGAGGTCGCTTATCAAGATCATCTTCAGGTCGTGCTTCTTCGAAAACTCGCGGAGTTGCGGCAGGCGCGCCATCGTGCCCTCCGCGTCGTCGTTCGTGATCTCGCACAACACCCCCGCGGCGCCGCGGCCCGAGAGCTTCGCGAGGTCGTACGCCGCCTCGGTGTGCCCCGTCCTCTTCAGCACGCCTCCCTCGCGGTACCGCAGCGGGAAGACGTGCCCCGGGCGCACGAACTCGTCCTTGTGCGCCTTCGCGTCGCCGAGCTTCGCGATCGTCGCCGCGCGCTCCCCCGCGGAGATGCCCGTCGTCGACGCGGCGAGATCGCACGACACCGTGAACGCCGTCTTCATCGCGTCTTCGTTCTCTTTGGACGTGACCATGAGCGGGAGGTTCAGTCGGTCCGCTGTCTCGTCGTCCACCGCGACGCAGAGCAGCCCGGAGGTGTGCTTGATCATGAAGGCGATCGACTCCGCGGTCATGGCGTCGGCGGCGCCGATGAGGTCGCCCTCGTTTTCGCGGTCCTCGTCGTCGAGGACGACGACGAACTTACCCGCGGCGACGTCCTCGAGCGCGGACGCGATGGTGGCGAAGCCCGGCGTCGGGACGTCGCCGTCGATCTGGTCCGGGTCGAGGACGTCCGGGTGCCACGACGGCACGCCGCCCGCGGTGTTGTCGGCGTCTTCGCCCGCGCTCGGAGTGGCGGCGGCCGCGGACGCGACGACGACGCGGCCGACGACTCGAGGTGCGGGGGTTCCGGAGAGGCGAAAAGTCGACGGCGCGCGGCCGCGGAGAGCCGCGCGAGATCTCGCGCTTGGCGTGAACGCGCGGCGCGTCGCCTTCGCGGACGCCGCGTCGGACGCGCGCGCGAACGCGCGCGCGATGGACGCCGCGGGGGTCACGACGTGCGCGGGCATGTCGCGCGCGCGCGCGTCTCCTTCGAGCGCGTCGACCGCGGGTCGATCCTCAATTAATTGGAGGAGGAAGAGAGGCGGGCGCCTTCTTCTTCTTCTTCTTCGAGGCGCGCGCGGCGATTCGCTCGGCGCGCGCGAGGCACGGAACGACGCTCTTCGCTCCTCGCGGCGGCGCGAAGCGCGGAGTCGCGTGCGCGCGCGGAAGTTCGCGCGGCGAGTGGCGTGACGCGGCGACGTGCGGGACGTGCGCGCGCGTGGGAAGTGCGCGGATGACGACGTCGCCCCATGACGGCGCCCCTTTTCCTTCCTTCTCTCGGTTCGGCGTGCGTTCCGAGACGCGGACGGCGGAGAATCGAGCGAGAGTTTCGTACGCGCGCGCAGTCAGAAGAGGGCGTTTCGTATCGTACTACGCAGCCTTATCCTATTTTCGGGGGTTAAAGACCCGAGGGATTAGCTCGACTCGTAAATCGGAACGCGCTGCGCGCTATTTTTTGTGCGACGAATTTTTTCGCGAGCGGCACCTCTGTTTGTTCGCTCGCGTCGTTCCCTTTCGGCGCACACCGCCGGAGGCTCGAGCGAGATGAGCACGCCGGGGGGATACCGGACGCCGAAGGCGCGCGGCGCGCTCGGTTCATTACGGTCCGACGCCGCGCCGCCGCCGACGCCGACGACGAACATCCGGAACCTCATCGTCGCGAAGGAGAAGGCGCGTAGAGACCCCCCCCGCGACGTTTTATAATCTTCATCCTCTTTCCTCCACTCCAATTCCCCCCCTCCGCCAACCATCGCGCGGCGCGTCTCCCGTCGCCCGTCTCACCGCCGCGCGTCCTCCCCCTCCTCGCATCGCGTCGCGTCTCGTCTCGTCGCGCGCAGGAGCTCGTGGCGCTGTCCGAGCAGCGCATGGGCGCGCTGAACTCGCGCACGCGCGACGTCGAGGAGAGGCTGCGCGCGAGAGACGCCGAGCTCGCGACGGTGAAGCAGCAGTTCCAACAGCTCACGACCGACTTCAAGTACAACCTGAAGCTCGTCGGCGAGCGCGACGCGGAGTTGGAGCGGCTGGACGCCGCCGTCGCGTCGTCGCGCGCGGCGGTGGAGAAGGCGGAGGTGGAGGCTGCGAACGCGAAGAGCGCGTGCGCGGACGCGCAGGGCGAGCTGCGAAGAGAGAAGGCGCGGATCGAAGAACTCGAGGCGTACCACAAGGAGAAAGTGTCAAGACTGCAGAAGAACGCGGACGACGCTCGGTACGCGCGCGAGGACGAGCTCGCGCGCCAGAAGGATGACTTCCAAGCGCTCGAGCGCCAGCTCCTGCGCCAGCTCGAGGAGCAGAAGAACCTTCTCGAGACGCAGAGGATGACGATGCTCGAGGAGGCGGCGCGAAATCGCGACGACGCCGAATCCGCCGCGCGCGAACCCGTCGCGAGGCTCGAGGCCGAGCTCCAGACGGAGAAAGCGAACGTCGTGGGGCTCGGGAAAGAGCTCGACGCGGAGAGAGCGCGCGCGGAGGAGCTGACGAGGGAAATCGCGGCGCTGAGGGAGACGATGCCGAGAGAACGCGCGCGCGCGGAGGAGACGTTTCGCGAGAAGGAGTCGGCGGCGACGGCGGCGATCGCGGCGAATCACCGCGAGATCGACGAGCTCAAGCTCAGGGTTCGGACGCTCCAAGCCGCGAACGAGGACTTGAAAGAGAGCGCCGCGGAGGCGAGCGACGCCGCGAAGAAGAACGCCGCGGCGCTGCGGCGCGAGCGCGAGGAGAGAGAGCGCGTCGAGAACGACGCGTACGACGACGACGACGACGGCGCGTTCATCGACGAGGGATTCTTCGCGGACGCCGCGGGGTGGGACTCCGGCGCGCGCGCCGCGCGCGTTGACGACCGCGAGCTCAGCTTCGAGAGCCACGAGGGCCTCGCTCCGGGGGCGACCGGTCTGACTCCGCCGAGGATCGGCGCGGAGAGGCCGGAGGTGCTCGCCGCGCGCGCGGGCGCGGCGGCGGCGAGGGCGGAGATCGAACGCGCGCGCGTCGCGGAAGGCGAACCGACGCGAATGCGAACCGACGCCGAACCGACGGCGACGACGACGCCGACGCCGACGACGCGCGCGCGGAACTGCGACACCGTGCGGGGGTACTGGACCGGGGACGCGCGCGCGCCGCCGAGCGCGATGTATTGGTCGGAGGACGGCCCCGGCGTCGGCGTCGACGCGTCCGCCGCGACCGCGCCGAACGCGAACGCGAACGCGAACGCGAACGCGAACCGCCGCGGATACGAACCGACGTCGAGCTCGCCCGGCGGGGTGTCCAGGGAGGTGATCGAGGCCGCGGCGCGGCTCGCGGTCGAGGCTGCGCTTGCGGCCGCGGCCGGCGGACGCGCGTCGGCGGCGCCGTCGCCGTCGCCGGAGCGTCCGCCGCGCGCCCGGCGGCGCGCGGAGGAGAGCTTCCAAAGCCGGTCGCGGCTTCTCGAGGCTCGCGACAGCATCGAGCGCATGTCGATCCGGCCGCCCGCGGTGACGAAGACGGCGAAGCGCAAGAAGAAGATCGACGGCGGCGCGAAGGGCGCGAAGGGCGCCGCGAGGGCGAGGCGCGCGGCGGCGTCGGCGGCGACGCGGTCGCTGGAGTCGAGACAAGCCGCGCAGCTGGCCGCGCTGGAGGCGGACGTCGAGGCGCTCACCGCGTGCCGCCGAGGACGCACGCACATGACGTCGCTGAAGTCGTACTTCGCGTAGCGGTGGACGAACGAGATGTTATGTAGGAGGTGTGTTAATACAACGCGACTCGTCGAGCGAAAGAATTGGTGGTCTTCATCGTCACGTCACGTCATCTTCAGCGCCTTTTGCTTCTTCACGCGCTTGTCGTTCTTCCGCGACCGCTTCGCGACCGTCGCCTGCGTCGTGACCTGGTCCTTGAAGTTCCCCAGCCCCGTCTTCATGACGTTCTCCTGCTTCTGCTTCTTCTTCGCGGCGAGGCGCTCGTGCTCCTTCTTCCGCGCCGCCCGCGCGTCGTCCTGGCGCGATCGCATCTCGGTGGCGAACGCCTTCTTCTTCGCCTTCTCCTCCATCTTCTGCGCCCACGTCTTCATCCCGCCCGTCTGCGGCTTCATGAACGACGCCGCCCTCTTCTCCGCGCGCGGCTTCCACGCCCTGCCGCTGGCCTTGCCGACGACCTGCTCGTACGTCGGCCGGGCCGCCTTGCGCAGGCGCTCGCACTCGTGCTCGTCTATTTCCTCCTCCATGTCCTCCTCGCCGTTCGCGTCGCGCTCCTCGATCTCGCGCATGCGCTTGCGACACATCCGCGCGCTCTCCGCGAATCGAAAGTCCGCGCCGGACTCGAAGACCTCCTGCGCGGGGACCCAGTCGTCCTGGGTGAGCGCGTCCGCGGCCGACATGACGCGCGCGGGGAGAGGGAGGAATGCCGCGCCGCCGACGGCGCATTCTCGCGAAAGTCTCGTGGAACAGAAAGGGCGGCGGACGGGGGAGTCGACGACGTAGTACGGTACGCGGATCCTACGTATGAGCGAGCAGTCACGAAGTGCTCGGATCTCAAACCGACGGCTCTCGTGGGCTCTCAGCGCGCGTCGAATATTATTTTGAAGCCCGCGCGACAACTAATCGACGGCCGCGCGACGCGACCTCATCAGAACGCGACGCGCGCGACGGGCGCCGGCGCAGACGCGACGCGGCTCTCGCGCGAGGGGCGCGCTCGAAGATGTTCGCCGCGACCGCGCGCGCGGCGCGACGCGCGATCGCGACCGCCGCGTCGCGCGTCGATCCCGCGCGCGTCGCGACCCCACCCCAACGCGTCGCTTCGCGAGCGGGAGGCGCGCAGACGTCCGCATCCGCGCCGTGGCGCGTCGCCGCCGCGACGATGGCGTCGATGCCGCTCGCGGTCGAGACCGGCGCGCACGCCGCGGCGTACCTCGGCGGCCTCCTGAACCCTCACGACATCGCGCGCATCGAGCACGACCTCGCGACGATGCCGCGGTCGCGCATCGAAGGCGCGGACGTCCCGCGCGCGGTCGCGATGCTCATCCCGCTGTGTCACGACGTCGACGGCGTGCCACACGTGATCTTCACGTCGCGCCCGGACGACTTCGGCGCGCCGCACGCGGGGTTCCCGACCGCGCCGAGGAGCGTGCACGACTCGGGAGACATCGCGGGCGCGATCGCGATCGCGCGCGAGGAGCTGGGACTCGGCGCGCCGCGCGGAGGAGGGGGAGGAGGAGGAGGAGGAGGAGGAGGAGGGGACCTCAGAGGCTCGGAGAAGGAACGCGGCGGCGCGGACGGCGACGCGATCACCGTGCTGGGGTCCACGTCGGACGTTCCGTGCGTCGCGACGCAGCGCGCGGTGACGCCGGTCGTGGCGTACCTCGGCCGCGTGGACATCGCGACGATGCAGGGGCTGAACGCGCTGGAGGGGAAGTCGCCGACGATGATGGCGCTAAGTCTCGAAAAGCTGCTGTCGGCGGATTCCGTGGAGGCGCGGCTGGTGCCGGGGATCGGACCGATGCCGGTGTTCAACGCGAACGCGACGCACGGGGAGATGCCCATGGAGGTGTGGGGGCTGAGCGCGCAGGTGTTGCACGGGGTGATGCGCGTCGTCGTCGGCGCGAGGAGGGAGTACGTGGACGTGTTGTATTCGCCGTTCACGAGGAAGAGCAGAACCGCGGGGGGAGGAGGCGGAGGCGCGTGACGCCGCCTCGCGTCTGGTCGGAAGATTTTTTTTCGCGGGGCCTCGCGCGAGGCCCCTCTCATTCACTTCATCATTCTTTTATGATATTTATGATAGCCTCGAACTAAATCACGACGCGTCGAACCATATCATGCGCATCGCTCTCACCGCCGCTTGTAGCTGCACGCTTTCAGCGGCGGCCACTTCAACTTTGGCTTTTTATTCCCGACTTCGACTTGCGATTTCCTCTTGACGAAGACGACGGTGAAGAACATCTTGTTGCTCTCGTCCGGCGCGCCTTTCATCTTAAACCCTAACGCGCTGAGCGTCGCCGCGAACGACTCGATCGTCGCGCCGCCGTTGCTGCCGTCGAAGCGGCTGCGGACTTCCGCGATCCACAACAAGCCGCCGGGTCGAAGGACCTGATCGACGACGAGAAGACGACAGGAGGTGAGAAAATAAATCAAACGCGACCAGACGGTCGCGCGTGAGAGCGTCCGTCTCGGCGAATCGGGTCGAAGGGGACTATCGGGGCTGTTCCAGCCGGCGAGCTCACGAGGGTTCACCCGCCGGTGAAAGGGAAGCGTCCGTACGTTTCATCTCGCGTGTTTGAACGAATGCGCGCCCGTCACGGAGAGAAGACGGGCGCGAGAAGACTGAACACGCGCCGCGCGCCGCGGGGTCGGGGCGGTCGGAGAACGCTGCGAAAACGAACGCCAACGCGAAAGGACGCACGCCGCGAAACAAACGTACCCTGTGCGCCTCTTCGAGGAACGAGCCGTAGTCCGTCCCCATGAGCGACAGCGAGAACACCGCGACGTCCACGCTCGCGTCCTTCAGAGGCAACCTCGCCATGTTGCACGCGACCACCCCGGGCGCGTCGCTCTCCAGGTCGAACGAGCGCACCGTCTTTCCCTTAGGGTCGACGGCACACGCGAGCGAACGTCGGGGTGGAGTTGAAAGGCGTCAGATGGGTTTGAAAGGCGTCGAGGCGCGTCGGGATTGAAACCAACCGGGGGTGGGTGAAGAGATGCGCCGGGAGAGAAAGTCCTCAAGGAACGGCGTGCACCACGCCGACGCGGTCGTACGGGGACCGGCGTAAGATAGAACGCGCCTTCCCGGCGAGCGTCGCCAGCTCGGCGTCGCCGCACCCCAGGTCCGCGACGACGAGCCCGTCCGGTTTCGCGCGCAACCACCGCGCGCAGACGTCCACGGGGCGCGACGGCCACTCCTTCGTCTGCTCTCTGAACCCGGCGTGGTACGCCGCGAACATCCCGGGCTGGGCGGTCACCATCGCGAGCGCGTCGGCGCCGGTGGCGGTGTAGAGTTTCTCGTTGAGCGCGCGGAAGCGGCCGCCGCTGAGGGGCGTTCCATACGAAGCGATGTCGGGGTGGAGTTGAAAGGCGTCAGATGGAGTTGAAAGGCGTCGATGGTGGGGATTGAACGCGAGGGATGGGCGGAGAGACACGACGGCAAAAGTCCTTAAGGAACGGCGTTCACCACGCCAACGCGGCCGTATGGGGACCAGCGTATAGAACGCGCCTGAGTTTCGCGCGCATCTTGTCCATCAGCGACGTCTTTCCGGTCGTCGTCGTCGTCGTCGTCGTCGCGGGTTCGGAGTGTCGACGCGTTGGCGGTGATAGCGACGGTTCATCTTCTTCTTCTTCGGACGACGACGGTTCGTCTTCGTCTTCGTCTTCGTCGTCGTCCGTCCCCGCGAGCGCGGCGTCCAGGGCGGCGTCTTCTTCGTCCTCGTCCGTGCTCCACCGCTCGCCCCAGTCGCCTTCCTCGCCGTCGTTCGCTCCCTCCTCCTCCGCGTCGTCGTCGTCGTCGTCGTCGGAGTCGGAGTCCCCCTCCGCGGCGGCGCGCAGCGCGGCGGCTTCCTTTTCCAGCGCCGCCGCGCGCGCCCGCTTCTCCCGCCGCGCCTTCTCCTTCGGCGTCTCTTTCGGCGTCGGCGTCGGCGTCGGCGCGGCGTTCGCTTTCGTTTCCGCTTTCGCCGCTTTCGCCGCTTTCGCCGTCTCCTCCTCCGCGGCTCTCGCGCGCTCCTGCTTCTCCCGTCGTGCCTTCCGCTTCGCGTTCTTATCGCTCAACCCTTCGCCGCCGCTCGACCCTCCGCCGCCGCGCGTCGTCGTCGCGGTCGCGAGGTCGAGGTCGAGCGCGTTAACCCCCGCCGCGGCGCCCACCGCGAGCTTCTTCGGCAGCCGCTTCGCTTCGGTGTCGATCGGGAGACCTCTCGCGGCGCGCTCCGCGCGGCGTTTCTCCGCCGCGCGCGCGCGCTTCTCCGCCGCTCGGCGTCGCCGGCCGAGGACCTTTCCCGAGACGCCTCCGTTTTCATTATTTTCGCCGCCGCCGCCTCCGCCGCCGCCGCCGCCTCCGCCGCCGCCGTCGTCGCCGTCGTCGTCGCCGCCGTCGTCGTCGTCCGCGGCCGCGGCCTGCAGCGCGGCGTACTTCTGCCGCTTCGCCTCTCGTCGGTCGCCGTACTGCTTATCGCGCTGCCGCGCCTTGTCCCACTCGGACCCGAACCGCATGTCCACCTTGGACCGCTTCTTCGGTCGCGTCTTCGACGGCTCGGCGACGGCGCCGTCCGACGGATCCGCCGCCGCCGCCGCGCGCGTCGCCGCGGCCTCCGCCGCGCGCTTCCTCGCGCTCTTCTCGCCCTCCCAGTCGTACGACTCCCACGCCGGGGCCTCGCCGCCAAGGTCGATGTCGCCGTCGCCGTCGAACGACGGCACGGGCATGAACGCGGACCCGTCGTCGCCGTCGCCGCCGTCGCGAGATGCGTCGTCGTCGCGGCGTCTCGCGCCCGCGCGCTTCTTCTTCGCGTTCGCGCTCGCGCGCGTCTTCTCGCCGTCGCCGACCTTCTTCGCCTTCTTCCCGGACGACGCCGGGCGCGCGCCGTCGCCTCTCGCCTTCGCCTTCGGCGTCTTCATCGCGACGTCGCCGCGTCCGCGCGCGCGCGGCGGTGTGCGCGACGACGACCGACGCCGGCGCCGGGAGCTTCGACGTCCGAGAATTCGGCACCTTCTTTTCAAGCGGCGTCGGCTCGATCGATCGATCGAACCTCGACCCATCGATCGATCGATCCTCGACCCATCGATCGATCGATCGATCGATCTCGATCCTCGATCGATCCTCGATCCTCGACCGTCCAACCAGATAACGCGTTCGACATCAGCACTTCCCGCGCGCGCGTTCGCACTCGCGCGTCGTCCGCCGCTCCCGCCCCCCGCTCCCGCCCTCGCCCTCCCACGCGCTTCGCTTCCGCCTCGAAGATGGCCGCGCTGGAGCGCGCGACCGTGCTCGTCACCGGAGGCGCGGGGTACATCGGCTCGCACACGGTGACGCAGCTCCTGACCGCGGGATGCGTCGTGCACGTCGTGGACAACCTGGACAACTCCTCGGAGGAGTCTCTGCGGCGCGTCAGGGAGCTCGTCGGCGAGGAGAAAGCCGCGAAGCTGACTTTCCACGAGTGCGACATCTTGGACGCGGTGAAGATGGACAAGGCGTTCGCCGCCGCGGGGAAGGTGGACGCGGTGATCCACTTCGCGGGATTAAAAGCCGTGGGCGAGTCCGTGGCGAAGCCGATGCGGTATTACCGCAACAACATCGTCGGCACGATGGCGCTCGTGGACGTCATGGAGAGGCACGGGTGCCGCAAGATAATCTTCTCGTCCTCCGCGACCGTGTACGGCGAGCCCGCGACGGTGCCGTGCACGGAAGAGTTCCCCACGGCGGCGTTGAATCCGTACGGGCGAACCAAGCTCTTCGTGGAACACATCTTGACGGACATGCAGGCCGCGTCGCCGGAGTGGAAGGTGATTCTTCTGAGGTACTTCAACCCCGTGGGCGCGCATCCTTCGGGGAGGATCGGCGAGGATCCGAAGGGGATCCCGAACAACCTGATGCCGTTCATTCAGCAGGTCGCCGTCGGACGGAGGCCGGTGCTGAGCGTGTTCGGGGACGACTACAAAACCGCGGACGGCACCGGGCGCAGAGGTCTGTCCGTCCGTCCGTCCGTCCGTCTCCCATCCCATCCCATCCTCTCCGATCGCGTCCCCTCTAATCGACACGTCAGCGCGAATATCATATCGCGAATATTCGCTCACGCTCCATCGTCTCCACCGATCACGACGCAGATTACATCCACGTCATGGACGTCGCGGACGGCCACGCGGCGGCGCTGACGAAAATCGTCGACGACGCGTCGATGCCCGACGGGTGCGTCACCGTCAACCTGGGCACGGGCAAGTCCACGTCCGTGCTCGAGCTCGTGGCCGCGTTCGCGAAGGCGTCCGGGAAAGAGATCCCGACGAAGATCGTGGCTCGACGGCCCGGGGACGCCGCGGAGGTGTACGCGCAGACGGAGAAGGCTAAGGAGGTTTTCGGCTGGGAGGCGAAGCTGGACATCGAGCGGTGTTGCGTCGATCAGTGGAAGTGGGCGAGCGCGAACCCGTACGGGTACGGCACGGAGGCGGACGCCGCGTGAGTCGCGCGGCGGCGGCGAGCGAAGAGCCCTCGCGCGCGCGGCGGCGCCGCGCGACGCGACGCGACCGCGCGCGAGCGTAAGAATACACGAAAAAAAATTAAATCGTTCTACACCGCTCGCGACGAACGGGGACGGCCGCGCCCTCCGGCGCCCTCGTCCGTCCGTCACGTCCGTCTGACCGCCCTCGACATGACCCCCCCCATCCCCTTCCTCTGCCACTCCTTCTGATCCCGCTGAAACGTGAACGTGGACGCCCCGCTGCGGTACTCCTCGTCTTTGAACTCCGTCGTCTCTCTGAAGCGCGGCACCGTCGACGCGAACGGCGTGCTTCGGCGCCGTGGCGTCGTCGCGTCCGAGTCTTTCGGGAACGCGGTGACGCCCGTCTTGGGCGGGAGCGCGTACGCCCCCGGGCCTACGTCTTCCGGTGTCGACGTCTGCGGCTTGGACTTAAACCTTCGATCTTTGCTTCGAAGCGTGCTGTACGACATCGGCGACTTGGCGATTCGATCCGCGACGGTGTTGTGTCGATCGACGGCGTAGATCGGATCTTCCTTCGGGCCGCACGGGTTCCCGACGCCCATGTCCGGCACGAACCTCGCCGTCCTCTGCACGAACGTCTTCGGTGACTTGGCCACCTCGTCCATGATCGATCCGTGGCGTATCGCGCCGTCGTAGAAGGCGTCCGCGCCGTCCGGGCCCCTCTGGTGCCCGAGCCTCGGCGCGCGCGACTTGAACTCCGCGCCGTACCTCCGCGGCGAATCTCGAATCGTCGTCGAGAACCCGGACTTGTGCAGGTGGTCGATCTCGTACTGGACCACGTCCGGGGTGTCCCTGTGCGCGCCGTCGACGGGGCCGAACCGCGCCGTGCGCGAGGACATGCTGCTGTACTTCAGCGGCGACTTCTTCGACGCCTCCGCCATCGAAATCCTATTATGGCTTCCTCGATCGATATCGTACGCGAACTCTGTGCCCTGGCCTTCGTCGTAGAAGGACACGAACCCCTCGCCGGTGTGTAAGCGCGACTGCGTGCGCTCCGCGTAGTGGTGCTGCAGGTTCCCCGGATCGGACGCGCGCCGCGCGGTTCGTCGACCCGTGGACGCCATGGCTGTCGTCCGCGGGCCGCGCGCGCTCGCGATTCGCGGCAACCGATCGTGCGTGCGGCTCGTTGTTCATCGTGCGCGCCGAAACGACGAAAAAAAATAATTAATTAATAATCGACGACCCATAAGTCGAAGTCAAATCTCGAAAATGGGTATATATACGGAGCGGGTTCCCATGAAGATATCTTCCGTTCATACCACCGTGAGAACAGCGATACCCATCGGAACATCGAACTTAAGCACGGTTGGGCTGGATTAGTACTAGGCTGAGGAATCGCCCGGGAATCCCCAGTGACGGAAGGTTTTTGCTGTTTTTTGCTTTCAACTCCACCGGTGAACTTTTTTTTTGAAAGGGAGCGCGACGGCTTCGCCTTTCAACGACGCGCGCTCCCGCAGTGCCACCCACCGCCGTCTGTGTCTCTGGCACATCGCAATAACCAGAATTCGACACGCGCGCGCTCGGGCGCCCGCCTCTCTCGCGCGCGACATGGCGGTCGCGCCCCCCTCGGAGCCGGTCCTGATCGCGACGTCCGTCGCGCTCGCGGTGCTCACCGTCGCGTTTTACGTCTCGCGCGCCGTCGCGGGTTTCCTCTACGGCGTCGCGCGATGGCACCGCCAGGCGTTCGTGCTGAGACACACGCCGACGGCGCCAGGGTACGTCCCTCTGATCGGACACACGATCGCGCTGTTCAGAGCCGTCGGGAACTACCCGTGCACGTGGGACCTCTTCGCGATGTGGGCGACGGCGACCGCGCCGAAGCCGGCGCGCGTGCAGATATTCGACCGCCACTGCGTCGTCATCGCGGACCCGAGCACGATGAAGCGAGTCATGGCGACCAACTTGAAAAACTACCAGAAGGACCTGGAGTTTTCGTACGCGCCGTTCCTGGAGATCCTCGGCACCGGCCTCGTCACGAGCGGCGGCGAGACGTGGAGGAAGATGCGCGGCCACATCAGCAAAGCGCTCCGCGTGGAAATCCTGGACGACATCATCGCGATCGCGACGCGCGCGGTCGAGCGACTCTGCGTCAAGCTCGACGCCGCAAAGGCGTCCGCGGCGGCCGTGGACATGGAGCAAGAGTTCCGCCTGCTCACGCTGCAAGTCATCGGCGAGGCGATCCTGTCGCTGTCGCCCGAGGACAGCGACGAGCTGTTCCCGTCGCTGTACCTGCCCATCATGGACGAGTGCAACGCGCGGTCGCTGTCGCCGTGGAGGGCGTGGATCCCGACGCGCGAGTGGTTCGCGCATAAGGCGCGTTCTATACACTGGTTCCCATACGATCGCGTTGGCGTGGTGAACGCCGTTCCTTAAGGACTTTTGCCGTCGTCTCTCTCCTCCCATCCCTCGCTTTCAATCCCCGCCCTCGACGCCTTTCAACTCCATCTGACGCCTTTGAACTCCACCCCGATATCATCGCTTTGTATGGAACGACCCTAAGTCGCGCGTGCGCGAGCTGGACGACGCGATCATCTCCATCGTCCGCGCGCGGTGGCGGAAGAAACAGGCGGGGGAGGACGTCCCGGACGACGTCTTAGAGCGCGTTCTGGAGCAAGTCCGCGAGGACGAGTACGGCGCCGACGTCGAGACGCAGCTGTGTTTCGAGATCAAGACGTTTCTCCTCGCCGGGCACGAGACGTCCGCGGCGATGCTCACGTGGACGCTGCACGAGCTGTCCAAGGCGCCGGACATGATGCGAGAGGTGAAGCGGGAGAGCGACAGGGTGTTTGGGAGAACGCGGAAAGGGTCGTTGCCGACGCGCGATCAGCTCGCGAGCATGGAGTACACCCTGGCGGCGTTTAAAGAGACGCTGCGATTGTATTCCGTCGTCCCGGTGGTGACTCGGGTCGCGGTGGAGGACGACGAGCTGGGCGGGACGCGCGTGCCCGCGGGGACGACGGTGATCATGTCACTGCAGGGCGTGCACCACCGCGCGGATCTTTGGCCGGAGCCGCTGAAGTACGACCCCGCGAGGTTCGTGAAGGCGGACGAGAACGACGAGATGAGGGACTTCAAGTTTTTGCCATTCATCCAGGGGCCGCGGAATTGCTTGGGGCAGTATCTCGCGCTGTTGGAGGCGCGCGTCGTGCTCGGCACGCTCGTGCGGCGGTACGCGTTCGCGCCGTCGAAGGCTCAGGGGAAGAAGCACACGAAGGCGATCCCGATCGCGCCCGCGAACGGGATGCACTTCACCGTGAGTTAGGCGCGCCGCCGCCGCGAGTAGAGTGTCGTCGAATGCCAATCTTATTCCTGTCACATCGCGCTGCGTCCTGTCGAAAAAGGGTGTTAAAATGATATGAGGGCCGATTCCCCGCCCTCGGCCGGCATCCCTCCGCGCGCGCGCTCGCGTCGAGAACCCGCCGCACGCTTCTCGAGAAGCGCACCGCCGCCGTCTTCGTCCGTTTCTCGAGCCCGCCGCGCGCGCTCCTTCGCATCGCGCGCGACGCCCGCGGATCTCCGAGGAGGAGGATCGACGCTCGGTCGAATCGGGAAGCCGCGGCGAGCGCGCGAATCGAATCGCGTCGACCGTCTCTCGCTCGCGCCATCGCGCTCGCTCGCCATGGGGATCGGCAGCCTGTTCATCGTGAACAACAAGACCTCCGCGCTGTGCGCGTGCAAGCACTGGGGCCCCGCGGTCGCGTTCGGCGCGTGCGACAAGGTCTTGGAGCGGCACCGGCTCAGCGCGAAGAGCAACGTCGTCGGCGACGTGTGCGTCGTCGACGGCTCGCAGTACCTCTTTCACGTCGCGCGCGGGGAGATCACGTACGTGGCGACGACGGAGCGCGAGACGGAGCCGCTCATGGTGATCGAGTTCCTGACGCAGCTGCACGTGGTTCTGAAGTCGTACTTCGGGGACGTCACCGAGGCGGTGTTGCAGGCGCGTCGCCCAGCGATCGTTCGGATCGATCCCCTCGCGCCCGATCGCCCCTCGACGATTCGACGACGATTCGATTCGACGCCGACTCGACTCGATTCGTTCGCCTCTCGTCCGAACCCTCCCTGACGCCTCCATCCCTCCTCCTCCTCATCCTCCTCCTCCCCATAGGAACACCACGTGACGCTGTACCAGCTCCTGGACGAGATGCTCGACAGCGGCGTCCCGGTGAACACGCACCCCGGCGGCCTCAAGGCGCTCGTCCCTCCGCCGAGCCTCGTGAATCGCGTCTCGTCGCAAGTCTTCGGGCATCAGGGCGTGCTCGTGAGCGATCAAGACCCCTCGAAGGCGCTGCCGTTGCCGTGGCGCTCGAACGGCATCAAGTACGCGTCGAACGAGATCTACCTCGACGTCATCGAGTCCATCGACGCGACGTTGGACGCGGAGGGGCGAGTCCTGACGTCGGAGGTGCACGGCGTCGTGGAGGTGAACTGCCGGCTCAGCGGGATGCCCGACGTGTCGCTGGGTCTGTCGAACTCGCACCTCATCGAGGAGTACAACTTCCACCCGTCCGTGCGGCTCTCGCGGTTCGCCGCCGACCGCGTCGTGTCTTTCGTCCCCGCGGACGGCACGTTCACGCTGATGACGTACAAAGTGCGCGCGCCGTCCAACGCGAAGCACGATTCCGCGTGGCGACCCAAGTACATCAAGCCCAACGCGTGGGCGGCGTCGCAGCCGGGGCACAGCGGCGGCGCTCTCGCGTCCGTCAGCGACCCGCGCGCCGCGCAGCTCCCTCTGTACATCCGCCCGCAGGCGACGTTCGGGGCGACGCAAGGCCGCGTGTCCATCGTCTGCGGGACGAAGCCCTCGGCGGAGAAGCCCGTGGAGGCGGTGCGATTGGAAGTTCGGCTCCCCGCGAGGACGAGCTTCGCGGATCCCACGTCCACGCACGGAGTGGCGACGTACGACGACGCGTCGCACAGCGTGCTGTGGAGCATCGAGACGTTCCCGAAGGATAAGACGCCGTGTCTGACCGTCGCGCTGAACATGGAGGAGAGCGAGGGGGGCGGCGGGGGCGGGGGGGGAGGGGGTTCCTCGAGCGAAAAGACGGCGCGCGCGAGGACGGTTTCTCTGCAAGAGATCGTGGACGTGCAGGCGACGTTCGCGGTGAAGGGCGTCGGCGTGAGCGGGATAAAGGTGGAGTCCGTGCAGGTGAGGAACGAGAAGTACACGCCGAGTCAGGGGGTGCGGTATCACACCCGGGGGGGGCGCGTCGTCGTGCGAACGTGACGTGACGCGACGCGACGTACGCGTAACGACGACACACTGACCGAAAAAGATCATCCTCTGTCATCGCTCAGCGCAAGCGCCCTCGAATCGTCGTCGTCCCCGCCCGTCGTCTCGTCCGCGCCCGCGGCGCGGGCGCACACCGTGCGACGCGCCGCGCGTCTCGTCGCGTTCGTTCGCACATGGCGTCGCACGTCGCGGCGATGCCCTCGCGCGGGTGCGCGCATCGCGTCTCGTCGTCGTCGTCGCCGTCGACGACGACGACGACGACGACGACGACGACGACGACGGCGACGCGTCGCCGTCTCGGAGGTCATCATCGTCATCATCTGTCTCGAAGCCGCGCGCGTCGTCTCGGCGCGCGTCACCGCTCGAACGCGCTGCCGCTCGCCGCCGCGTCCGCGTTCTCCCCCGCGGACGCCGTCGCGGCCGCCTTCGCGTCGTCCGCGCGGGTCCCGCTCCCGCTCCGCGACGTCCTCGCGCTCGGCTCCGTCGGCGACGACATCAGCATGGGCCTCTTCGCCGCCGCGCAGTCCGCGGACTCGATCGTCAGCGACTCCCTCGCCGGGAGCGTCACCCCCGCCACGTTCGCGATCGTCCTCCTCGCCGGGCTCGTGACGTCGCTTTCGCCGTGCACGCTGAGCGTCTTGCCGCTCACGATCGGATACATCGGCGGATACGCCGCGCCCAAGGCGGGGCAGGAAGATCTCGCCATCTCGGCCGCGATCGATCCGGAGGAGGAATCCGAAGACGCCAGGGCGGCGAGGGAGGCGAGGGCGGCGAAGGCCAAGTCGGACGCGATGACGGTGAACGGGATGGCGTTCGCGGGCGGGCTCGCGTCCACGCTCGCGCTCTTGGGCGTCTCCGCGGCCGCGGTCGGGAAGGCGTACGGGCAGAGCGGGTTGGGAGGGGACGATAAGCTTTTGCCGATCGCGGTGTCGCTGCTCGCCGCGGTGCGCGCGCGCGGCGCGACCGGCGTGTCCACGTGGATGTCGTTCGTTCGTTTTCAGCCGCACGTTTCTTCCACGTCGCGTCGTCTTCATCACAACTGACCAATGACCGCTCTCCACGTCAACAGACGATGGGCCTGAACCTCCTCGAGGTGATCGTCGTGCAGTTCCCGTCGTTCGGCAACGACTTCGACGCGCGAAAACTCTCGCTGCCGCCGCCGGCGCAATCGTACCTCGCCGGCCTCGCCTTCGCGCTCGCCGCGTCGCCGTGCAGCACGCCGGTTCTCGCGACGCTGTTAGGATACGTCGCGTCCAGCGGCGACCCCGTCGGCGGCGGCGCGCTGCTCTTGACGTACACGTCGGGTTACGTCGCGCCTCTGCTCGCGGCGGCGACGGTGACGGGGAGCCTTCAGAAGATAATGAGCGCGCGCGCGTACACGGCGTGGGTGACGCCCGCGAGCGGGTTCCTCCTCGTCGCGGGGGGGACGTACGGGTTCCTCAGCCGCGTCGCGCCGCCGATGTGACTATTTGTACTGTATGAGACTATCCTATAATAATAACTGAAGGTTATCACGACGAGGCTTCGGCGCGGCGGCTCGTCAGCGCGACCGAAACGCTCGCAAGGCGGCGAGCGTCTCGTACAACGTCTTCCTGCCCACCTCCCGCAGCCGCTCCACGTTCGCCGCCGGGATCGCCTCCGTGTCCGGGTGCGCGTCGATCGCCCTCGACACGTCCACCGTGCGAAGCAAGTGAATCGCGGGGTACGGCGATCGGTTCGTGTAACTCCCCGGGTCCGCCGGTTCTTCGCCTTCGAAGTAGTAGTTCGGATGAAACGAAGCGAGCTGGACCCTGCGCGACAGACCCGAGGACTCTAAGATGGCCTCGCATTCCTCGACGACGGCGAGGAACAGCACGAAGTCGTCGTCGAGCGCGTCCAGGCGCGGGGTCACGACGAGCGTCGTGGACGGCTCGGAGAGACTCTTCGCATCAGACGCCCCTGGAGACGCCTCCTCCTCCTCCTCCTCCTCGTCCACGTACTTCTCGTCCGCGGCCGTGTACGTCCCCGCGAGCGCGGTCGCCTCCTCCCTGAACGTCTCGAACAGCGCGTCGATCGTCGTCGCCTCCGCGACGACGCAGCGGATCGCGCCCGGGGTCGACCGCGGCGCGCGCGCGAACGGGCACAGGTTCTCGCCGATGACGACGTCGTCGAGCCATCGCATCGTCGCGACGCGGACGTCCTCCGTCGTCGGCGGCGGGAGAGCGGGCCTGGGATCGGTGTCGGTCGTCGTCGCGGAGGAGGACGCGAACGACGCGCCGCGATGGCGCGACCGACGCCCGCGGCGCCGTCGCCATCGCGTCTCCGTCGCCGTCGCGCCGACGCCCCCCAGGTTGAGATCGCCGGCGCGACCGCGACGCCACGACGCGGACGCCGCGACGCGCGTCGACGCGGTCGTCCACGGCGCCGCGCGCGTCGTCGGCGACGCCGTGGCGAAGAACCCGCGACCGAGCGCCCGCGCGGCCATCCTTCGCATCGCCCGCGCGCGTCCGGCTGTGAAGACGACACTCCCCACGCCGCGTCGTTGTTACTAGAGTTCGTGCGACAGATAACTTATGGTTCGATCACAAATCACCGCGCGCCCCGCACGCTCGAACGCGCGCGCCATGGCCCCTCCCAACTGCAACGCGATGGCCCTCGTCATCATCCCTCTCGCCCCCGGCAAAGCGGACGACGCGATCGCGCTGTTCAAGGACCACGAGATGGGATTGAAGTACACCCTCTCTCAGAAGGGCGCGGTTGATTTTGACATCGGCGTTCAGACCGCGGAGGTCCGTCGCGTCGCGTCGTCCGTCCCGTCGTCGCGCGACCGCTGACCGCTCCCCTTCGCGCGTCATGATACGATACCATCCATCCATCCATCCGCTGACGACCGACCCGACGTCTCCGCGCGCTATTCTATCTACGCTATCCGTCCCGTCGCAGGACGGCTCGCAGACCATGTACATCTTCGAGCACTGGCACGAGGAGGCGGACTACGCCGCGTACGTCGCGACGCGCGGGGACAAGGAGCTCATGAAGGAGTGGGACGCCGCGTTCGGGCCGTGCGTCGCGGGGCCGCCGACGATCAAGTGGTTCCCGAGGAAGTTCTCCGTGTCCAACGGCGCGGCGACGTGGTGAGAAGCGCGGCGCCGGGGGGGGGGGGGGGCGAAAGCGCGTCTCTCGATCGACGACCCGACGTCGTCTTCGGTCACGAACCGAGTCGTTTCGCGCCCGCCGCGGGACGCCGCACCCTTTTGAACCCTACAACACCCGACTACACACTACTACTGTAAACTCTCTCGGGAGGTTAACCCTAACTAAAGAGAACGGGGAAGACCCCTCACGCCGGGCCCTCGGAGACGCACGGAAGCCAGTACACGCGTTCCCCCGCG